CTTGTTTATAAATAACGTTTGAGTAGATAAACTCACAGCTGTTGTCATGTTTATTTAAGCAGTCAAAGTAAACGAAGTGCGTGACAGTTGACAGGCACTAACGAGCTGCCGGGAAATTCAGGCATACACGTAGCGAGATAAGAGTTTTAACTAATAATTTGTAAACCTATGGCTAGAATGTATTATATGTGCTTGTTTCTTATTCCATGAAGCTGTTTGCGACACCTGCGACATATAAATGATCAGGATGATGGCAGCGAGCAGAATTCCGACTGCCTGTCTGGGCGTCCGTCTGTCTGTACAAACGATAACGTGGGTAAAAGTTCAGATAACAACAACAAAAACTGACAACAAAATACAGAGAAAGGGATGGGCTGATTGCATTAATTTTGACATTGTTCAGGTATACTCAAGGACATATTTTGAAGCAATTTTATATAAAAAAAATTTTTTTTAGTGACATTAAATGTAGTATATGGGAGTTGGGGGTAATAGGGTTCATTAAAATACCTCACATACCATCACCAAGGATATGGTGTAAAGTCAGCTGGATTGTCGAAAATCCTGATTGTTATATGGGGCTAGGTCAAGTTTTAACCCAATTTTATTCATTATACAAAGATACATTGTTATTAGAAAAACACGCTCTCTCATTTTCAAAGTTCCCTCCGAAAGTTCGAAAATCTTTAGATTAGTTATATAGGGGCTCAGGGAAGTATTGACTCAACTCATCCTATTTTTGGCATTCAGCCATACTATTATCAGGAAAGGATTCTCTTCGTATTTCAATATATGTCACACATTGACCGATATTTTCAATAAAAAGTCTTCTATGGGCACTGGGGTCCACATATTCGGTACCTAAGGGCTTGAACAATTTTGCTTCGATTTAGACAATTTTTGGTTATAAGGCGGCACACTTTAGAGGGACTATTCGTGCAAAGGTTTATGCCGATATATAATATTAATTGGTGCGTCGTTGTAGTGCGATTCCGCACTATGACTGTTAATTTATTTTGCCCAGAATTATCAGCATAGTAAATGATGTCAAGAAATAGTGCTATAATACTCAGCTTGAACTGATATTATAGACTTTAAATGAAATCCCAAATAAAAAGTCATTTGAAGTTCAAGCGACAAATGTCACCAGTCATTGAGTAATGGGTTGCTCAACTGGCAGTAGTTTCGGCTACACAGTCTTACCGGAGACTTTCTGGTACCACGGGGAGCAGAAAGCCCTTGGACTTCGGTCCAATCTGCTCATTGGGTTATGGCCCCTTTGGGGAGATTCGTGGTGGCTGTGGTTGAAACCTAAATGCAGGAAGAACTGAAAATTCAGCCTAACTGTTTTTTCAGTTCTAAAAAGAAGTTGCAAAAAGCAACTGGGTTCCGTACCCGAAGACGGAAGAGGTTTTAGGTCGGCCTCGAATCTTACCAAGATGGTAGTGTGGGCTCAGACACACTGTCACTGGTAACCAAATTAATACTTGCAAATAGCTCGTATTATTTGGGGCACGTATCAACGCATTGTATTGATACGTTGTGCTTTGGAGCACCGTGAGGTAAGGCCGTCGCCGGCAGGTACTCACGTAAATCAACAACGAAAGTTGTAAAATACGTCTATCAGAGGAGTGTTATGTGCCGAATTTGTTTCAAATCGATCAGGCAGGTCTAGAGATATGTGATTTTACCTAAAAGTGGTTGGTGTCACGCCCAACGTCCAATTTTGACACCTGCTCATGTGCCATTCTAGATGTAAAACCTAATGTCTCAAACTTATTTAGTTATTGATTTTTAATATTGTACTTTAAGTAATTTTTCACAAATCTATTATATAGGAGTGCGCGGGGTTATCATCCGGTTTCACCTATTTTCACACTATCTTAAGAAAGTGTGAAAGATTTTGTCTTGCGCAAATTTAGATGATATAGATTTATTAGTTTGGAAGATATATTATATATACTAAACTAATGTGATTCGTTGTGCCAAATTAAATTTCTGTATTTAATTTACGGCTTAGTTACGGCACTATATACGTTTTTGATTAATGGCGTTTTGTTAACCTGGCAGTAGTCCAATTACGCCCATCTACACACTCGACCTTATTTTTTTATCAAGGAACACGTGCAGCAAGTACCTTTAAGGCTTTACTATCGTTTCTTTCTATTGGATGCGATTTTAATTTCGGCAAACTCTAAGGCCTCGTTTACGTTCAGAAATATTGTAGGATATTATAGAAAATTCAAATTTGATGGGGAATGTATATTATCATTCGAAAAAACATTATTTGACCTTTTTTTTGAACATTATCCTTTTCAAATATTGGCCGCGTCTCCGATGGTCCATCTCTTGAGTCCAATTTTCGAAGACTCGTTCGAGCATTTCGACTGGTAACTGGCGAATGACACGTGTGATGTTTTGCTCCAAGGCCTGAATCGAAGTGGGACCGTCCGCATAAACTTTAGACTTTATATATCCCCACAGGAAAAGTCTAACGGTTGGATATCACCTGGTCTTGGTGGCCAATCCATCGACCCAAAACGGGGAAATTTTCTGCTCAAGTGTTCTCTCAATAAATCCATTGGTTGGTGCAATGTGTGGAAATTTTGCGTGTTTACAGACCCTTTTTGTGTGCTGTCAATTTAAGATCTCGACGTAAAATGCGCCAAGCCGTTCCATACGTCAGTCCGAGTTGCTGTGAACGGCGCCGAATCGACTCTCCACAGTCTTCGTGCGTGCTAGACGTGATTGATTCGGTCGAATATTATCCAATAATGAATGCTGGGTCTCAAGATGGGTGATGATGTTACGAATAGTACGCTCAGTAGGCCGATTAGGTTGACCATAAATTGAGCGAAGCGCTCAAAACACATTCTATACAGAACGTGAATTTTCCTAATAAAGTTCAACGATTTGTAAACATTGTTCAGGTCTTTTCATGATGAAATGCCAAACAATACTGAACAATATTATTTTTGGCAGCTAGACGTGACTCACGCGTGATCTGTCGGTCTTTAGGCATCTCAAAATCTCTCAAAGAGTTGAGTGAAAAAGTTCAATTCAAGGTGGTGTCCTGTAATTTTTAATCCTTAATTGGCCTTCTAGCATGAGAATTAGGGAGAAGAGGGGAATTTTTCGATGTTATGTTTTTTATTTTACATTTCAATGGGCTCTCTTATGTTCAATTAAAATTTATTTTTTTATCGTTTATTGCATAACTTTCTTCTGTTTTGGTTAAAGTTCTTGAAATAAAAGTGATTGGCTTTACGTTCTGTTCAAGTACTGCTCCGATGGCGTGTTTCGAAGCATCTGTAGTCAAGTGAAATTCTGTCTAATAGTTCGGATAGGTTAGTGTTACTTCTCCTGAAACTAATGCTTGACGGTTTTCTTTTCTGATTAATTTTTCATTATTCTTCCCTTTTTTCCGCCTATTTCCAATGTAGCACAATTTTAAATTCCATTTGATTCTTTTACTTTCCCGTACACAAATCAAACACCATTGAATATATTCAGATGAAACAAATTGTGCCTCAAAATCCGACCATAACTCTTCAAGAGATCATCAAAAATGGGTCAATATTTCCCTTAGCTCCAGTTGATTTTATACTACAAACATATGTATATCGGCCAATGTGGAAGTTATTTTAATGAAATTGAGAGAACGTATTTTCTAATAACAGTGTATTTTAGTGTCTAAATTGAATAAACTCGGTCGAAAACTTGCCTTAACCGTCATATAACTGATATCTACGATTTTGAAACATCCCGCTAACTTTTCTTCATATATACCTATCTTTATAATTATAAAATTTCTTGCAAATAACTTTTCAAGTAAACCTGAACGATGTCAAAAATTAAAATATTGTAACACCGCACAGTGACTCGTTCTGGGTGAAGTTTCGTCTCGAGGATTATTCCTGGATTTGATTTACTCCATAAAAGAACAAATACAACTAATCGATATAGATATTAAGTTCTACATATATAAGTGATCAGATAGCAAGATGAGTTGAATTCCGAGTGACTGTCTGTTGATCCGTCAGTTCGAGTGCAAGCGATAAATATGACATATCGAGATAAAACTGGGTACATATGTTACTTGGCACCGAAGAAGAGTTGGTATTGTATATGAGAAGAACCATTGCCACGCCCACTAGGCCACTGGCACGGATTTATTCTCTAATAAATTTAATGTACATAAGTACATATATCACAAACCACTAAAACGATATTTAATAAATCAGGATAAATATTTTGGGCTCCTACTTTGACATACTAAAAGTGCGATTAATCAATACCTAATTTCGTCAGAGACTTAAAGTCTTATACGCAACAAGGTATGATAGGGCTTCCTAGGTGCCGGTATCAAGATTGTAGAAAAATTGTCATAGTTGGTTTACTTAGACGGAATATATTGTGTGCCCTTTATATGGGAATAATTCCTTATCTACGGTCAGGAAATCGTGTGGGGTGTAGGCTGTCGTGATTTTTTTGATGAGCCTTAATCGAAAGATAAAATGAATTATCATGTATATTGGAACATAGGTTGGGAGTTCCATAAAGTGGTTAATTTTCTGGCTTTTAGATTAGTTTCCAGTATTTCGTCGATGCAACTTTGCTTTCGTTTATTTTTATAAGCAGAAATCCCTACTGTAAACATTTAGTTGAAAAAAAAACACATTCAACAAAACTTATTAGCGGTTTCGTTTAATAATAACACAAATCCTCAGAGACCTTTTTATTAATCCACGTACTAAACGTTATTAAACCAAAACAAACAATTGCTCATATCGCTTCAAAACAAGCTTCAGTCGATTTAGCAAATTTTTTGCTTGGATTGTATGTACGGTTCGGGTTCATCAATCTTCACATCGTGGAATCGGAGAGTTTGAAAATCATAAAGCGCCCCAATGACCTTTTCTCACAAACAGACGGCTTAAACATTTTTACAAAGTATTTATTTAATTTTTTTAACAAAAAACTAAATAATAAATTACTCATTTATGTTTTTGTAAGATTTGCTATTTCATTTATTATTTAAGTATATATTCATTTTCAATATCAAGCAATCCTCATGGAATTCTGTATCAACGAGGTGGTTGAGTTCGTACAGCCGCAGTTTTTATTCTACCTACAAATCGCACTCCATTGGCGATTCTTCATTCATAACAGTAAATGTGCCCTTAAAGTGGACTTCTTATGGAAATCCCGTATTTTTGCCAAAGTTCCTTCACCGCTCTTCATCAATGATTGTAAGAGTATATAGTTATGTATTTATATACAAAATTATTATATTATTTATTTTATTAATTTTGCTTTCGTTAATTCTGTTGTTCTGGTTACTGTAAAGATGTGACACCAGTCAACACTTCCGTGGGGTTCAGTTGCGCTGTCGATGATGGGTTCGTATCTCACACATGTCTGTGAGTCTGTAGAGTTTTCAATTGCCAATTGCGTCAGTTTGCTGGTCTGGCTTCTTACTGCTACTTAAAACTTTTTCCGCAAAGTTTGTCGTCACATTTTTATTCGATATCGTAATGGTGCACTCAACTCAAATAATTTGCTGTATAAAATGCTTGCAACTGTCAACCACTAAAAGATACTTGTGTTGCTTATTGGTATATGAGGACTTGTGTGGACGTAACCTGCAATAAGAAATATAAAAAGTACAAACTTAAATTATTTGCAATTTTACACATAAAATGCAGAAATCATAATAACATTTCAGATTTTTTCAACACAGAATTCAATTTAATTATAAAAAATAATACGCTAAGATAAACTGTAAGCAAAGACTTCTCCTCCTTCTTCTTCTTTCTTCGTATCATATGTATACCCTGTTTCCACTTTGAAACATCGGAAAACCTTTAAAGTGTATACCATATATAAACGGTCATCGTGACGAGCTGAGTTTATTAATCCGTCTGTCTTTATATCCGCGTACACATCCCTAAGCTTTTGAGATATCGATTTTGCACACGTTCTTTTCTACCAAAGAAGTTAGCATATAGCTGCCATACAAACTGACCGATCAACTCTGTATTGAAAACTTTGTGATTTCACAAGGTATCTTCACGTAATTTGGGATGAATTATTTCCCAAAATAACGCTACAATCTTCGAACGAATTGTTCAGATCGGACAACTATAACATGTAGCTTTCATATCAGTTTTTGTATGGAAACTTCTTGTTTGGTTTTCGTATGACATTATTAATGTCAAGAGATGCCAAGGCTCTTTTTCTTTTGACTTTAACTCGGAAAGCGCATAGTATACTTTTAGAGCAGGCTAATCTACATTTACATGTATTTGAACGACATGCTCTAAAGACCATAGACCGTGAGTTAGTTCGCTGAATTTGTTGTTCTTCATTACCCAGATTTTGGCATTCGCCGCCACCAATGTCAAAGTTTCAAAATCTTTTGTTGAAACTTCATTTCAAACTCTCTTATGCCTTGAGGGCATCTATAACATGAAGGACATATAGTTATAAAGTGAAAGTGTTGTTCGTGGGTAGAGAACTTTATTTCTTAAATTCCTTCTCATTCCAAAATAGCGTTCGTTGGCAGGAATCAAAAGTTATGCAGATGTCATATCAAACATTGCTCATGTTAGAGTAGAAATTGGAAAAAAATGCTTAATAAACGCATTATTATTGGTGGCGAGACTTTATGAAAATGACGTCTAAAACGTCAAAATTGACATAAACTATTTGAGTTTTCTAGATTATCTGAAACTAATGAAAGAACAATAACAGCTTGAACAGTAATAACAACGATATAATGTAAGTAAGTATATGGAACGACATATCAGTTTTTTATACTTAATAATATTGCATTACTACCATTAAAAACAACGCATTCAAACCAACTTCATTTATTTTAAATTAATAAGATATCCAAACAAAATTGTCGGAATCGGTTCATATCTTCTCTAGCCCTCATGTACGAAATATGTACAAATATCTCTATCCCTTCGGCTGAGAATAAATACAATATATATGTAAGCATATCTTAATGTTTTTATATATGCGCTTCGTGTTACACCCCTGCATAGTTAAACTAAATTAACATCATTAATGTCAATTAATTTTATGGTCGGCAATCAGCGACCATAAGTTAAAGACTAGGTTTTATTTGCTTATTCCACTAATATTAAGAAAGCATGCTTTTTTTCTACGTTTTATGTGGGGCATCCTTTGTTTTTCGTTAACTCAATTAGGAAGTGAGCGGAAAAAATAATAAGCCCGTTATAAGCTAACAGTTGCTTTATAAATATTTACACACCACGCATTCCAAAATTGGCTCGAACTAAAAATGACGTCAGCTTTAATAAAGAGCCTCGAGGCTTAAACCATACAGTGTTTACCAAACTTGTTTTTATTTTGAGCACTTTTCTTTTGTGGTTATTGCACTAATGTGATTGATTTTGTATAGTCCACCAATTCGTGATGCCGACTAATCAAGATATTGTAGAAAACAATTCATGTCTACGCCCCCAACTTAATTTAGTGTAGGTTTTTTTATATTGGTCTCTATATAATTAGCATTAGCTTTAATATACTAAGTATTCATAGCAAATTTTTGTCTTTAACAAGCCAATGTCATATTGAACCTGTGTGACATAAGTGTATTTTAAACATTGATCCAATAAGTAAAAATTGAAATATATTTCACAATTAAATTCTTTAGAAAATGAAATATACTTTATTATTCCAGGAACTCTAAATATTTATTGAACCTTTGCAAATATTTATCAACTGCTGAGGAATATTCTATCAAATTTATACAGTTTAATTGTCTAATGGATGGCAATCATTTCTTAAAACGCTTATAAATATCATGCTCTTGTGGAAATATTTTTTGTATCATTACTTTTTTTTTGATTAAATTACATACTTAAGAGCGTGCCACTTTATTTGAAAATCTTGAAGATATCTATGTTTTCTCAAATTTCTTTAGCTTCAGTTAATTGTGTATCTAAACAGTTGTCTTATTTCAAACGATGTAGGTCTTTTTTAAATTTGTTTAATCTCAAAATATGCAAGTTTAAAAAATATATTATTTTTTCATTTATTTAATTAACGAGGTTAGGATCGGTTAGGTCCACATGTCAATTCTAGCAGGGATCTCATTTAAACAGTTTAGAACGCCGGTCCGTTGCGGTACCTAAAACTCCAATAAATTAATCAGAATGACCATCATAAATCGGCAGAGCCCTTTGAGTCGAAGATATGACTGCCAATATCTTTCAACCTGCTAGCTTATAACGGGCTTATTATTTTTTCCGCTCACTTCCTAATTGAGTTAACGAAAAACAAAGGATCCCCACATAAAACGTAGAAAAAAAGCATGCTTTCTTAATATTAGTGGAATAAGCAAATAAACCCTAGTCTTTAACTTATGTTCGCTGATTGCCGACCATAAAATTAATTGACATTATTTCAAAAGCTGAACAATGGAATAGAAAATCTCTCGATGTTTCAACCTTACCTTTATCATAAAACTTTAACAAGCTGTGTCCAACAAAATCTTTGGTGAGAGGCCGCCTCTTCCTATAACTCCTCTAAGGCAGTATAAGGCAGCCAATACCCCTCTTACTCTTTTCTCAATGTTTGTCCTCCTTATCAGCATAAAAATAAAAAAGAAATTGTATACAAAACAAGTAAGGGAGGGCCAAGTTCTTGAGTAACCGAACATTTTATACTCTTGCAACTTGCAAGAATCAAATGCTCAGGTACTGCTACAACTTCATATTAAAAATGTTGCGAAAGATTTAATCATTCAATATTCGAAGAAATCGTGGAAAAAATTAATTGAAATTTGGTATCTCTTGACTTATATTGAAGATCATTAATTTAGACTTAATTTTATTGCTACAGTTCAAGTCCGCGTCAGCTAAAATTTTATTAAAAATTCCCTCAAATGAAATATATGTATGTGATATCAACTCTCTCATTTTCGTTAAAATAACTCACGATTTTTGCGGAATAAAGTCAACCAGAAGTTCAAAAATATTCCCGCTAAGTATATGGCGGCTAATATTAGTATTGACCCGACTCAAACCATTATAACATACAGATATACCATTATCAAGAAAGGATTATCTCCTAATTTAATTTATATATCTCACACAATGACCGATATTTTCGGTAAAAAGTCACTGGGGTAAACATATTCAGTACCTAGGGCCTTGAACAGTTTTGGTTTGATTTCGACAATTTTTGGTCATAAGGTGGCAAATATCACAGGCATTATTCGTGCAAAGTTTAACTCGGTACATTTATTGGTGCTTGATTTGCATACTGAAAAGTGAAAGAATCAGATGGAATTTAAAATTTTGTTATATGGGAAGTAGGTGTAGTTGTACAGGTTGGTTGAAAAGTTGGTTGGTCGTACCAAAAAGTAGCACTACTACCTTCAAATTTTTTTTCTCAAGCTGGTACATCTGTCGTGAGATCACATGCAAAGTTATAAGTCATTCCGTCTATTAATTCTTTGTTTGCAAGCCATTTGAAGTTGATGTGTCAGAGTTTTTTTTTTTAAATAGAAAAAATTAAATATGGCGCAATGATTAGATTCTTTGTTTCGGAAGGATTGAAAGCAAAGGAACAATTTATGAACAATTGTTAGAAGTGTATAAAGAGTCTTCACCTTCAAAACGCATCGTTGAATGAACGATCGACGCGAAGGACGACCAAAATGATACTAAATTGAAACAAGAACGTTTAAAGTGAACTGAAACTGGTTGTTCAGCTCCAAAGTAGGTGAAGTCACACCGATCAGCAAAAAATGTTATGACATCAGATGCAAAAGAAATTTGTTGATTGATTATCCGCATAAAGATAAAACAATCAACTCTGAATGACCGTCACTCGGATTTCTACTCGTCTCATCATAGTGATCATTAATATATATATAAACCTGTATCTAACTCGATACTAGCTGATACAAACAACCGTTAGGTGAACAAAATTATTATACTTTGTAGCAACATGTTTCAAGAGTATAAAAAAAATCTTAAAAGCGGTCAACACTCGTTTTAAGCTTCCTTTAAAATTACCAGGGTTATGATATATAAAATTGGTGCCCTCACGTAGGTTAAGTTACACAAACAATTCAAACAAGTTTACTGTTTTATTTAATACTTTAGTTCAAGTACCCATTGTTATGCCACAAAGCGACCTCTGACATAATCTCCAATTGAATGCGGTGGAAAAAATTTGGTATGTAACTAAAGCTCATTCTGTGTACAAATAAATCGACACAGACAAACATACTTATACTTTTACATGGGAATATCACCAGGGTACGGTATGTAGCATCACTAACGCTAAATTCCCCAACTCTATATGGCAGCTTATGCACAAGTATTGGAGCCGCGTATTCTGGGTACACCCGCCTCAGCTTATTCAAGTTATATTGCCATTATTTCGGCGCCACATTCAAAACGATTTGATGTGGATTCGAGTGAGGGAGCTACTGACTGGCCATTAAATGTCTGCCTTTTAACCGCAGCATTCGCACACACCAACACAAACTGCAACGGCAAAGCGAGTATCATAGTGCCCAGAAGCAAGCATAGTAGGAGGCGTTTAGATTTATAGTCGCCGTTGCGTTCTTAGTTAACGTCGTAAAAATCCGCTT